CATAAGAAAACGCTTAGATCCATTCTGGTCATTTCTGTCTCATTTTGTGGTGACGCGACGGGTCGTGACGAGTGAGGGCTCGTTGGAAGGGGAGAGGGTAGTGAATACGTTAACAAAAAAACAAACGCAAAGACAATGCCAAAAGAATATTACGTCATATCTTTTCAAACGACGTAAAAAACTAACATCATATATAAATAACGTTGTTCTACGTTTTTTACTACGCTTTATGCATCGTTTGACATTTTTATGACGTTTTATGCGTCGTTCGACGTTTTATGCTCCTTTCGACGTTTTTTACGACGTTTTATGCCTCGTTCAAGAAGATATGACGTAATGCCCTTTTGCTATCGTTTTTGCGTTTATTTTTTGTGTTAACGCATTCGTTTCCCTTTTCCCTTCCAACGAGTCCTCACACGTCACTTTCTGACGAACCGTCGCGCCTCCACTACAAAAAGGGACAAAAATGACCAGAATGGACTTTAGCATTTTCTTATGGGATTTAACATGGGGAAATAGCTAGAAGCCGTGCTGCCGAAGCTTTTACTGTGGATTTGCGGTACTTCTCTTTGCAACTACATCTTGGACTTGTGAGAGGAGGATTGATAAATATATTAAGTTGTGATGTATGGTATTTAATCACTACTATTTAAAACTGGATAACTTATGCTGGATAATATTACTTATTTAATTGATTACATGTTATCATCTTAAATTACAAATACTGACTACGAATGAATGACTTAACGGCTGAACTTTGATTCATTGTCTGAACATCACATCGAATTGCTGAATCTTCAAGGTTAAATCTGAAGTGTAGCAAAAGTAATAAGAAACAAGGCACGCATAGTAACGATACTTATATTTGTCCTAATAAAGTTTGGTAAACAACTATTTTAATTTATTAAAGTATTTTTAAGCCATTGTAGTAATCTAGGATATATTTTTATACCACCCTCCATTATTTTGCTTTTTGATTTGATATAAGTAAGTACTTATCATACACTAAAAGATATACGAGAATTTTTGTCTTCTGTGCCACTAATTTACGACTATATACTTGTTTGTTACAAAAGAAGAGACATCCTGAGTAGATGTGCCTTCTACCATCACTAATTTGTGACTATATTTATCTTTTACCAAAGACGATAAATTGCGAGTAGATGTGCCTTCTACCATCACTAATTTGCGACTGTCTACTTGTCTTTTACTAGAGACGAGACATTGTGACTAGAGGTACTTTCTACCACCACTAATTTGCGACTGTATTGTGTTTTTTCGTGACCGAATACGAAAAAGAAAGCTAGTGATTGACATCACCAGATACAATAATCGTCAACCTATTGTCCTACCGTACTGTACTAAGCTATTTACGATAGAAGGATTGGCATATTTCTTTGAAATTAGCGACTTGATAAATCGAAACAGAAAGTATACGGGTAGAAACATTCTTTCAGTAAATAAATATTTAATAACTAATTTGTAAAAATTTCGAGCCACTGGCCCATCAGGTTCGTCTTGAAGTTGCAATTTGCAACAGCGCACACTCATCTTTACGAATTCGGTATCGTTTACAGTTCCAGACAATTAGCTTCACATTTGCCATATTTTCTACTACTTTTATGATACGTATTTTGTAGTACCAAATAAACTCAAGCATTGCGGTTCACGTTGACTCAAACCGCATCTGAAACTCCTTTATAACTTTTTACCTACAAAGTGAACGTACTTCGAAAGTAGGTAACAGCTTTTGCATGATGAATAGAATATTGCTTTGTGTACATAGTTGTGCTTTAAGTGGTTATTCTTTCTTATTTTATGTATATGTTTACATGTTTATCTATATGTCTACAGTAAGGAGATCTGTATATATCGTGGTTTAATATAGCGAGAGTATAGAATTAGATGTTTCCAATGCCATTATATTTTTCTGTGTTGAGTTTAAGGTAACCGCGAAATTTAATAAAAAAAAAGTTTAAATGTTCTTGGCTACATTGGCCTTGTACCCATGTTTATTTGATATAGGATTAATGATATTCTTCTTCTGTTTCATTTCAGGGAGTGTCCTATATATATTTATCATTCCTCTAGGTTTGTAATTTAGTTTTTGTTTAGAATTTTTATTCATCATCTTAGTATTGTTTACGAGATAGAAGCTTGGAATATGAATTTAGATCATTCGTCCATTCTTCTTACACTGAATCATAATGTGCTCCAACAGAAATCCCATTTAAATGAATCAACAAACGAAAAGAGGCTCCATTAAGAACAGAGAAACAACTAGTATGTAAAAAAGGTTGAACAGGCCTATTGGGAGAATATCCCTAATATCAAATGCAAAACAAAACAATACAATCATAAAGAGATTAGGGACTTTACACAATAAAACAAATTAGTTGATGAACATTTGACTGAATAAAGTAATGACAGCCGTACAAACTATTCACTCTGGAACAGGATTAAAAAAGCTTACTATACATAATTCAACTAAGAATGATAAGAGCCAGGTCCGAGATAATATACACAAAGCAAACAGATTAGATTGAAGAATCCTGAAGATATCATGGACCGAGCATGTAACAAACAACGAACTCAGGAGAAGAATCAACAAAAGAATGGAAGTATTGGAAACCATGACACCCAGCTGGACAACAAGACAGAAAGCTGCAATACCTGGGGTATGTTATGCGTAATGAGAAATACAACCTACTTCAATTGATTATACAGGGAAAAATCCAGGGCAAGAGAAGTGTAGAAGAAGAAGAATCTCATGGTTGCGTAACTTAAGGGAATGGTACGGATGCACATCAATTGAACTATTCAGATCAGCAGCATCTAAGATCAGAATAGCCATGATGATTGCCAGCCTCCGTTGCGGTGATGGCACGTGAAGAAGAAGAAGAAACAGGTTGGCAAAATATTTTCCAGACCTACGAGGAGGATGATGTCCAAGACCGATGTGAACCTGAACAAGAAGATTTCGTGTTTTTAGACCAACTTTATCAAAAGAAGTTTCTCAGGAAATCAAAACACAAATCCTTAAAAAAATTTCCTGGTTTTGATCACATCGCTTCTGCTTCCTTCCAAAGCAGTTGTTTAACTTATCAATACAATAAATGCGTATTTAAGAATGAGATATATACCTAAGTTATGGACAGTAGCACAAATTATATTGATAACTAAAACCAAATAAATCTCTCCAAAAAATCTATCCAAACGGATCCTATTCTTATTGCCTGTTGTATCAAAACTCTATGAAAAAATTCTTCTAAAGAAATTAAAACCTTCAGAAAGCAAAATGCAAAATAGAATACAGAAAAAATACTTCTGAAGAGAGCAGAAAGACTTGATTCCCTCTCATCAATTTGATTTAGAGAAAAACATACAACCATCGAACAGGTACATAAAACCACAAATTTAATTGAAAAGGCAATAAAAGAAAAGAAAGAATGTTTAGCTGTCTTGTTAGCCGTAACCACGGCTTGTGATAAAGTATGATACGAAGGCCTAAAACACAAGTTAACTTTATACTACCTCCCCACTATTCAGAGCTACTAAAATACTATTTAATTGAGACATATTTCAGAATAAAGCAACAAGATGTTTATTCTGATGTAAGAGAAATTAGGACAGGAGTATTAAAAGGAAGCGTACATGTATATTCTTTAACCTTGAACATGAGACATGCCATTCTTGTTGTTGGAAAAGACCATGAAGAAGCTATTGTAAACATCGATTAATTATAGCTAGCAAACTGGGTCACAGTTTTGGACACATATTTCTGATTCGTTATCAGGTTTCAATCGCGTAAGCTCTGGCTGTGAAATGTGTCGTAAGTAGGTTAATAAATAATCTACATAAACAATTATTTTGTAACAAGGACATTATTTAAAGTTTCTTGTTCCCGATAAGGGATAGGCAGATGCATACTTCACAAATTAGTTAGGTTAGAACAAAATTGCTAAATGATCTTTTTAATCAGATTGTAATTATATAAAAACACTCTTCCAGTGTTTTCGTTAAGCAAAAGATCTTACTTCTTGATTTTTCTTATCTTCTAATGCTTGAACTTCTCTGATAAATCTCATTTCGCTTGCTTGGTTTCTAGAGTCATCCCTTTGTTATTATTCTTCTTATTATTTTCAAAGTTCTGTGAACATGGTTTAGACCACGATAGTAATTAGAATTTTTAAGATCTTCTTTCTCAAATACCATTAACATAATTACGGTTTCCTATCCGTGTGGTATTCCATGTCCGTTAGTTCAGGTTGCTCTTCTTAAAATATTTTTTTAGCTCCAAATTGTCCTTTTTTTTCGCGATGATTGTGTCCGAATTTTATACCCAACAGCGCGTGAAGTGCCAGTTCTTGCGATTGGAGTCGAAATGTATTCTGGCCATTCCCATGAAGTATCATGGTTTTTCGCGCCAGCTTCCAAGCCTCTTTGAACTGTGGTGATTTATCACCAGATGGCGGGACTCACTGCGTTAATTGAAAATTTCCAATTCTGCTCTTTTCAACGACGTTGAAACTGTGAACTCGAAAGATTTGAATCAAAAGTGGCACTCCATGTGTCATTGGATCTCCACTTTACGATTACTATGAGCATCATTAGAACCATTCTAGTAGTTTTTTGACTGCATTGTAACCACAGATAAGAATAAATACATGTCTTGCTGTAATTTTATCTGTTATCTAGGATAGACCGAGTTTTTTAAGTTTCAATTTTAATTCAATTTTTTCATATTTATAAAAATACATTACTTTCGTAATATTCTAGTTTATTTTTCTAGGTGAATTATTTAATCAAACACATATCGTGTTTTTTTTTACTTTTAAACCTTTTTTGTGATTCATGGTTTGCAATTTTTCCTTTAATTCTTTTGAATGGCTTTCACAATAAATTTATTAATAACTATCCCAATACTCATAGTTACCTTGTATTATACAGATCTGCTTATGTATTACGTATCAAATCTAACGTTACTTTTTATTCTTTAGGTAACTGCTACTGATGGAGATAAGGATAGACCTCAGAATATTGTATATTTCCTGACAGGCCAAGGAATCGATCCCGATAATCCTGCTAACAGCAAATTCGACATCAACAGGACCACTGGGGAAATATTCGTATTAAAGGTAAGTAATCTGATTAACTGCAAAAGTTTTGTATTATTTTTTGTGGTATGTATTTTATATTCCCAAGCTAGTATGATAAACTTGAAAGTTCTTGATAAGGAATCCAGGAATATGAAGGAAAGTAATAATATCTTTGATTTTGTCATCGGCAGTTTATATGTATATTTGTAAGGCACGTTGTTTGTTAGATAAATGTTTTTATTTATTCCAATTACTCTATATTCTTATCTTTATTCTGAGCTACGTATGAATTTTAGAGTACGGCTAGTATTTCTAAAATCAAATTATAGAAATATTTTTTACATGAGTTTATAATATTTTTTAATTGTATGCAAATAGTTACGCAAAAGGTTAAAGTAAATATTAAATTCCGAGTAAAACGCGTGATTTTGATCAAATTATGTCGAGTTTTCAACTCCCTCTCTGGAGCCTTCATCAGAATTTCTGAAAAACAGTCTCCTGATTCCTTAAGTCTTTATTATTTTTATGACTTAAAGAAATATGTGAAAACGTATTCGATTATATACGTATCTTGGAAGTATCATAACAAAAAGCGCGATGTACATAGGACCATATTCGTATTAGGATACGAAAAGATCAACAGGCATTCAGCATGCTCAACCCTGTTTGGAGATCTAGCGAGTATACTACAAGGACAAAGATCCGCATATTTCAGTCAACTGTCATGTATGTTCTACTCTACGGATGTGAAACCTGGAGTGACAAAAACTCTTACAGATCTGCAGGTCTTTATTAATAAGTATCTGCGACGAATTTTTTATATTTTCTGGCCTAACACCATCAAAAACAAAGATCTACTACACCTGACCGAAAAAAAAGGTAGAATATCTAATAAAATCCAGAAAGTGGAGTTGGATTGGTCATACACTCAGAAAAAATAAATTCCAGTATTGCAAAGATTACCCTAGAGTGGAATCTCCAAGGCAGAAGAAAAAGTGGTCGACTGTAAAAACTTGGAGAAGATCCATCTTGGACGAGATAAGAGGCCAAGGAAAGTCTTGGAATAAGGTGAAGGCCTTAGTGCAAAATAGAACCCGATGGCGCGTTTTCACTGAAGCTCTATGCTCCACTTAGGGGTTCACAAACCTTATACAATATATAAAAAAAGTATACGTGAATGAAATGCAAGATAACATCAGTGAGATTTTAGGCTAATAACATACAGTGGGTGATCAAATTATTATGATCACTTCAAAAAACTTTATATTTTACTGTTTAATAAAGAATAAAACTACATATGAGTGTCTAATAATGTGAATATAATATAAAAATAGATCATAATCACGTTCTTTTACAAAATTTTAAAATATTTTTTTCTTTGACCTTAAATAACATTTTTTTTTAATACTTTGTGTGACCTCCTTTAGCTTCGATGACAGCTTTGATCCTTCTTGGTATGCTTTGAATGTTTCTCAGGCAGTTTTCTTTTATTTTATCGTTTCTGTGCCAGGTGGCAATGAGTCTCTCAATTAACTGCTGCTTATTTGTGACAATTTCCTGGGCAACCCCCCTCTTCATAAGCTCCCATAGATTTTCGATCGGATTGAGGTCTGGGGAATTACTTGGCCACTTCAGTACTTTAATTTTCTTTTTTTCCAGGTACGATGTTACTCTTTTTGCCTTATGGCACGGTGCTGAATCGTGCATAAAAATAAAATCCTCCGATTCGCCAAACCAGTCTTTGATTTGTGGCATGAGTTTTTTTCCAGAACTTCAATATACTGATGTTGATTCATCATTCCATTTACAATGTACAGCCTCCCTGTGCCCTTACTGCTGACCACACACCATACCATAATCTTGAGAGGATGCTTTTCTCGCTCCACTATGCAATCCTTATGATATTTTTCACCCACTCGCCTTCGGACGAAGGCCGACTTATCCATGAGTATCTCCACTGTAGACTCATCGGAGAAACAAACCTGTGATTAAAAAAAACTATATAAGATATTTTTTTTTAGGATAAAAACAGTGGTTATAGTGATTTAAACTTTAGTAGTAACGTAATTTACCTTATTCCAATCCTCAATTGTCCAATTTTGGTGTTCTTTGGCCCATTCCAGTCTCTTTTTCATCATTACGATGGTTAACTTTGGTTTTTTGGCAGGGCGACATGATTTGAAACCTTGCTCAGTAAGCCTTCTGCGGACTGTCATGTCAGAAACTGGCATACCAGCTTCACGAATAAGTCCCGTGAGGATTCTTCTTGGCTTCTTTCTATTGTTTACGAATATATCCCTCATTTTTCTTTCGTCTCTGGGTGTAGTGACACGCTTTCGACCACATTTTTTGGGCACGCTGGTGAATCAGGGGTTTGTTGGTTTCAATTTTTTTCTTGATATTTCTCACTGTTGCTTGCGCTACTTGGCATTGTTGAATTATCTGACGTTGGGAAAGCGGATTCAATAAAAGTGTCTTTATTTCCACCATTTTAGACACAGGGACGTCTTTAGCCTTACCCATTATGATTTTCTTCTCAAAAATCGAAATGTTTTGAAAATGTCTTTAAAAATTAAAACTGATATTCTTTTTTCACTCACAATCACTACTAATAAATTAATAAAACATACTACAAAGATAAAACGATACTAATCTTTCGAAAACAATACAAAATCATACAAATTCAGTTGTAAACTCCAAGCGTAAATTCACCACAATGTGTATGTTGTCACGTAATTTGACACAAATGACAGTTCTAGAGCGGTAAACGTCAAAAAAGTAAGGTTATCAGTGACAAAATATCATCGAGCAAAAAGACAAAAGAGGGAATGTAAAGGTAGAGGGGGCAAACATATTGTTAGACAGGAAGTGCGATCTTTAGAGGCCACTTTAAACAAGGAAAGAGAGTCTCTCTCCTTGTTTGACATCAAATTTAGTTGGGTTATGTTATTGTTTGTCTCAAATGTCACATGAAATTCTATTTATATTGAAGTTTTTTAACAATTGTGTCGCATTTAGACTCTTATCATTAATAATTAATTAAAACTTTCTCGTCTAAGACACATTCTGAAAAATATTATATAACTACTGTTGATAAGTGTCGGAAAATTTAAATTTGGCGCATTCGCATTTCCGGATATGTCCGCCATCAGCGGCCACTTTTTTGGTCTCCTTTTCATAAGGATTAGATTCCCTCTTTTGTCTTATTGCTCGATGCAAAATATATTGGCATACTTTAATCGTATATCAGCATATAATTTTATTATAAAATTTCTGAACAAATATGAAAAACTTAAATTTTTTGTGACTGATAATAATAATTTGATCACCCACTGTAAGTAAAAGATAAGAAAGGTTTATTTAGGGCAAAAATGGTACAGTGCGAAGAGCAATTTCCTTTCTCCATCAGCAATCAGTATGGCTTTCAAAAAGGCAGTCAACACTAGATGTGATTGATCTTGTCGTTAACATAGCTAAGGAGGCGATCGCAGCGACCAGATGGAAGAGGGGTACGAAGAAGTATTGTCTGGTGGCCACATTGAACATCAAAAATTCTTTCAACTCTGCTAACTGGAATTTCATTTTGCGAATTTAACTGAAATGAGGGTTAGGAGCATATGTTAGGAGAATAGTGACTAGCTACTTTACTGATCGACTTTGAAAGTATGACAGAAAGTCAGGCTCGAAGGAATGGAGTACCACAAGGCTCTGAGCTAGATACTCTCTTGTGGAAAATTATTTATGAATTCCTCCAGAATCTTCGCCGCATTGAAAGGAGATGAGCTAAAAATTGAGACGGTTGAAAGAAGAGAAGCAATTACTTCAACAACATGAAGGAAGAGCAATACCTAGATGATGAGTTAACACCGTGAGGGTGTTACATTGTGAAGTAACACCTTACGATAGTTCAGTCATACCAGGCCATACCTCCAGTCCTGATAATACAAAAAAGTATTTCCAATCCCAAAATAAAATACACACTCGCTAGTTCTCCCTGTCTTTAACTCCTCGCCTTTGTCACTTGTCAGTGCAGTGCCAAAAAAAACTCATCATCATCATCATCATTAGCCATTTTGCGTCCACTGCTGAACATAGGCCTCCCGTAAATGATTCCATTGCATCCGATCTTGAGCAACTTGAATCCAGTTAGACTGGATGCGCTTTAAATCGTCCGACCACCTTGTTGGAGGACGTCCTCGACTACGATAAGCATCGTGTCTAGGCCTCCACTCTAAAATTTTCTTTGTCCATCTTCCATCTCTGACCCTAGCAACATGTCCTGCCCAGTTCCATTTCAGGGTTGTAATTCTTTCAACTGCGTCCGTCACACCAGTTTTTCTCCTTACTATCTGACTCGAAACTCTGTCCCTGAGTGATACGCCCAACATTGACCTCCTCCATCGCTCTCTGTGCCACTTGTATCTTATTAATTACTTTTCTGGTAAGTGTCAATGTTTCTGCTCCATATGTCAGAACTGGAAGTACACACTGATCAAAAACTTTTCTCTTCAAGCACATGGGAATAGCTGATTTAAAGACTTCCCTCAGTTTTCCGTAAGCTGCCCATGCCAGTCCTATTCTCCTTTTTAACTCTGTTGTTTGATTGTCTCTTCCCAATTTAATCTCGTGGCCCAGATACTTATAGGAATACACTTGTTCAATTTGCGTGCCATTAGTGGAAATGTTTTTTGCCAGTACCAGGTTGGTCATGTATTGTGTTTTGGAAAAATTAATTTTAAGGCCAACTCGTGCACAAGAGCTCTGTAGGTCTTGAAGAAGTTGGCATGCATGATCTACCTGATCTGCAATAAGGACTATGTCGTCTGCAAACCTCAAGTTGTTCAAAAATTCCCCATTTATATTTAATCCAATATTTTCCCAATTATTTTTTCTCATAGCACTCTGTAATAGGGCGGTAAATAGTTTAGGAGAGATAGTGTCTCCTTGCCTAATACCTTTCTCCAAGGGAAATGTGTCTGTGTCACCATAGTACATTTTTACAGCAGCTGTTGCGCTATCATATATATTTCGAAGAAGAG